AAAGTAACTGGTTTCAGCATTAGTCGATACAATAATGATTATAAAATTCAGTAGGCTAATAACAATATCTCGCATCGCCGTGGTTATGGCTTGCGAAAGCTCTTCGAATCAGAGTGTATTAAATACATCCAAGCCTTCTTCATTCATATTTTGAATATTTGCCCAAGGAGACACAGACCGAGAGAAATGAACGGAATAAAGGCTATTCTGCCGTAGCCTGCTGTGCGGAAAACGACTTGACCATGTGGCTGACAAAGCAGGCTTGCAGTGGGCTACGTTTTTTCTTTTCTTTTTTTTCCGGATCATTTTTTGACAACCAAAACAAAGTTGCTTTCTGACGATACAAATACACCTGCACCAATCGTTGTAACGGGAGTGAAGAACCTGCCTAAATGCGACGGTTTAAATGCTACATTTATTTGACTTTACACACATAGGACAGGTGACACATTTATTTCTGTGGGAAAGGCTGGTCTGTTTTCTAAGTGTTCATTTTCATCTTAAAGAATTACCTTATAAATATGCTAATTCCCTTTGACACTCTACTGGGAATGGTTCAATAATGCGCTACATCTCACTCAAAGTGAATGTTTTAACAGATCTTCCGTAATTGGTTAAATCCACGTTACTATCAAATCATATGGGAGATTACATTCTACGGTTATATAAGTGTACGTTGTATGTATATTAGTGTGCATAACCCGTAATTCCTTACGCTTTCTAATGTGTGGCCTGTTCAGAATGGTCAAAATTGTTAGGCAGGCTCTCAGCAGAATATATCACTGACCCACAGCACATTTTTCATCAGTGTTATGAAAGACGCACGTCATCTAATTGAACTGTTAAGGGAGCTTGTTGTTTTGGATCAGTGACTTGTTTTTACAAGTGTTTCTGAAAGAAGCGGTGCTCGGGATAGAATTAGGTTTAATGATTTGTTTGACTGCAGCCCAAATCACGAATTATTTTACTAATATCACTAATTATTTCGACACGTGAAATGATAGGCTAGTTAACACTTTAATTAGAATTGCCCTTGTCTGAAGTATAACATAGTGGCTGATCTTTAAAAGGAAAGATATAAACTGATCATGAACTGTTTCCGTATTTCCTTTGGTTTGTTCATTGCTTGACGTGAATTATTCATTTGATTTACATTCTTTACGTTCTTTTCTCAGTCATCGTCATAAGAAACATTTACAGTTATAAGTCTCAGAAGTCTGATTTATTTGTCCTTATTACAAGCGATTTTGAATGAAAACCTTAACGATATAAACGTATCTGGAACAAAAGTATCGCTTGTCTTAGTTATTTTGACATTTTTACACGAAATCCTTGTCACCAATATCACTACCATTTTCATTTGCAACTTAAATTTAAGCTTGTCAGAATTACATTTAAGCTTGTTGATTATTTAAAAAACTAATTAAATGTATGGATACACAATACTTTACATTATAGGCTAGTCTTTATTTTAAATTGTACGCTGTGACAATAAACTTACGTAACCTTTTCAAATAAATAGGGTAGGACTTTATTATCAGTATGAGCTTGTTTGATTCATACCTGGGTTTAAGCCCTTTAGGATTTAGGAGAAGTCATTATTGCAGGACAACAGAGAGTCGATTTCAAAATGTACAAATTACTAATTTCTGAGATTTTTAATGAAAGTAGCATTTAATATGTTTCCCCATTGACTGGGAATTCAGACACAGGTCAGAGGGTCAATATGCACTTAAAAAAAAATTATCAGTATGAGCTTGTTTGATTCATACCTGGGTTTAAGCCCTTTAGGATTTAGGAGAAGTCATTATTGCAGGACAACAGAGAGTCGATTTCAAATGTACAAATTACTAATTTCTGAGATTTTTAATGAAAGTAGCATTTAATATGTTTCCCCATTGACTGGGAATTCAGACACAGGTCAGAGGGTCAATATGCACTTAAAAAAATTTTTTAATGGAGAAGCAGAGAAAATCTATTTGGATTTTTTCTAATAATCGCATTCAGTAGAAGTTAATAACCAGGGACGCTGTTGAAAATAAAATTGCACATTTGCTGGGTAACCATAAAGTAGGCTATAAGGTGAATTATGAGAATAGCGATTGATGAATAAAGACCAGCAGAGCAATAGGCCTACTCTATTTGCTTAATTAAACATCGTCTCTTACGACGTATATTTTGCTGTCATTGTCTGAAACAGTGAAACGGCATCTTCTTATTTGGAGATTGGGGGTAGGTCCTTTCAGGATACGCGTTCGGTTTATGCAGATAACGGAGGAAATTCTTACCACGAGGCCGACGAGGACCTCGGTCAATCACAGTAAAAGTGATGCAGATAGCCAATGGCATTGTTTAGACCCAACTCTCCCGTTTTCCCCTCAACTAAACTAGATACTCTGATGACTGTTTTAGAATACCTGCTGTTAATGGCCCATGTATGTATGTATGTATGTATGTGTGTGTGTGTGTGTGTGTGTGTGTGTGTGTGTATATATATATATATAGTATGTTCATATATATCGGTCTATGTCTAGGCTATATATGTCTCTTTTATATGACAGATATATATGGACACACACAATATATACACATACATACATACATACATAAAATGTAACGGGACAACTCGCTATATAGGTTTTATCTGGTTTTCATGTTTTATGACGTTCTCGAGTAACATAGTCTACTGGAGTAAAAAGCATTCGAAAAATGGACAGCACGAACTGCTGGTTTTGTGGGATTAACAACATGTTGATGAGGTTTTTTTTGCTGGTCACGTAACAGCATTATTTTCCTCTCACGTCCTGATCCCATTACAAAAGGAGCTTCCATGAGGCCGCTTATCCTGTTGGTTGAACCACGTGTCTAAATATGAGGCGAACGGTTCTTATCAGTCAGTAAATGGGATAGTTTACCGTGTTTAATAAGTGTTAAGTGTTTAATAACGTATAGACTATTTATGCAAAACCTAGGTCTGTTTCATTTATTAAGATTACTATTGACCCCTGTGTGGATTATTAGGATTATTTTTATGGTTGCATTGGCAATTCGGAATGGTGTAGCTAGCCTACTTTTTATAAAAACACATTTACTCTCTATTGTCAATTAAATTCGTCGGTCAGTCACTCAAGATTCATAATTTACCAGATTCAATGCAAAAACTAGTCTATCAATACAACACTTTTACACTTAAAAACATCTTAGGGCTCATTTCTAGGTTAGTTCTTTTCCAGAGTGGAGAACGACAGGTCGAGCAGAAACTTGTTAGGAGACTGAAAATATTTTCCCACTGAATGCCTAATGGAGGCCTGTTGAGTTCTGTGACTGAAGAAGCCTCGAGTCCATTCGGCAAAGTCAGGCCTCGACATTAACCGGGCTGTGCAAGATCCGTCTCGCTGTGCCGTGTGTTCGACGTGATATAATTTGTTAATCACCATTTCTAATTTCTAGGACGTGGCCTGCCTTAATCTGCTCTTTTTAAAAAGGCCGTTTTCACACCGACTCAGTTCGCAATGGGTTCGGTTTGGTTAAAGCAGAACATGCAGCGGCTGTCTGATTTAATAGACCTACCTGTAGATAATACACACAAAACATATTGATTCAGACGCCTGACCTTGTTTAAATAGGCGTTCTTATAGTGTTTGTGTATAAATGCTTTGGCCAAGCGATTTTCTCAGTTAATTAAATAATTATTTTTAATCATCATTATTATTACCCAGGAGCACTTGCATTTATAAGCTAGGCTACTATACATTTCACAAGATTACTAAGATTTAGTCCTGCTGTACCGCTACTGTGTGTATTTCCATTGTGTGACAGATTTATCGCCTTCAACTCTTTTAGGGAGGGCTGATTCCTTTTTGCTTGTGGGCGAAACAGCTTCTCTGCGTACATATTAAAGCTTAAACAATATCAGACAATATTTTCTTATATTTTATTATTGTAGCTGTATTATTCATTTGCAGTTGTTATAACATAATTTTATTTTTGGAGATTTGTCTTACGTTGTCTTTTTGGCCCAAAATTCTGAAGACCACGATTTTACACGCACTGGTATAAAAAAATATATGATGTAGGCTATATTTGAAATGTTAACGCTATGAACCACTGTCATACAGTTAAATGTAGTTAATGGTGCAAAGGTTAAATCGGGTGAATTTAATAGTGTATAATTCATATCAAATTTACATGTAATTTAGAAGGACACCAACTCTTTCAACCCCCACTCTCCCCACATTTACCAAGGTCTACAAACAAGTGGCTACTGCGACTAGTCTAGCACTTGTTTTGCTTATGCACAAATTACCCAGTTAACAATTTAATTTGTCCCCTATATCTCAGGACGTACCGTTCAGGAGGAATTCTATCTGCGATGCATTTAAGTTCTGGCTAATTGCGCGCCTTACGGTGTCATTTTTAAAACTTTTCCTCCTGCTTCTCTGCATTCAATCTTACCCTCATTGGAGAAAGGAAGTCAGACGAAGAAGCTTATCTTGAGCCTAACTGGTCGTAATATCTTAAAGATATCTAAAAACTATACCAGAGACATTGTGCTGCCTCGTCTCAGTCTCACACGCGGATTAGACAGTTATAAAAACTATGATATGGAAACATGGTTGTGTAACCAGATCATGTCTGTTGTAGACCTCATTTGAAATGTGCTGTTTCTAGACGTCCTTGCTTTTCCTGTTTCCTTTCTCTGATTAGAGTAGCCTGTATACCCTAAGCGCGCTCATGTGTGGTTATAGGCTTCTGAGTAGTGTGCTTGAGTCCATAGTGTGTATAGCAGGGCACGAGACCATCGGTTTCTAAACCCCTCCCCCACACTAACACTTTTCTTTACAATAAACAACTTATCTTAAAGTTTGATCTTACATTTGCTGGGACCGCATGTTACCTAAAAAAGGGCCAAACAACGGTTATAATAACAATGAATATTAATGAGTTAAGAGTTAAAAATGAAAGATCATCTCACATCACACTCAGATGTATTTAATGAACAGTTTCACCATAAAAAAAGAAAAAGAAAGTGCTTCAAAATCCACCTCACGTTTTCAAGTTTTCATTTCGAGTGCATTTATCCTACACAAGGGTATACAAAAACCAGGAAAATCACAAAAATAAATATGCATTTTTATAAACAACCAGTGACTTCAATTTAAGAAAAAACTCATGTCAAAATCTGACCTCAAGTATTGTAGCAAAAGCAGAAAGATTAAAAAAACAAAAACAAAGTCCACCTTGACCAGATAATTCCTAACCTACCATGTTTACAGTGAGTCACCGCCCATTTTTCCATTTCTGTTCATTGTGGAGATCATGAATTTCTTTATGGGGTTGTGATGTGTGCGCTACATTCTGTTTAATTTGGCTAGTTTTGAATCCATTCCTCTGAAGTTGGGACGACATAGCTATTCTGTCCGTCCGCAGTGCACTTTGACACAGAACGGAACAAAAAGTTCCTTTTATACGCTCGAGAGAGAGCAGACATTAAATAGTCGCGTTACAAAAATATAGAACTACTATATTTTAATCATTCACCTGTCAGAGTGTCACACTATATCGCATACTGGAACATTCACAAAGCGATGCATGTTTCACTTAATATCCCCACTTGTACACGTTAATCAAAACAGTACACGTAATGGGCCTATGCCTTAATACGTTAAATACCCTTTAAAGTCTATTACGTGTTTTCTCAGAATGACGTGAACCCGGTAGCCTCGCTTTAGCCAAATCTGCATAGTCTATGCCCATTTAGTGATAACTCACCGGCGTTGTATGTTTTGTTTAGGAAATTAGAATGCAGTTGAATATTTTCGTCCCTTGGCAACATAATCAAAAAAGTATGAATTTAGCTCATTGGCTGATCCAATCACAGATACAATTTGCTTTTAAAGGCCCGATTTGGAGGCATTCTGCTTTTGCTGAAGTAAACAGATATGGTACGTCACAGTACATTCATCACAAGGCATTTATATGGGGCAGGGTACTCTATTGGAACACCAAGTTAACACTTGCATGTTTTTAAGGTTACGTTTTCGAGTGCCAATGTAATCCATATCCTTGGAAAATAGGCCTAGCAAAAGAAAATACAATCAAAACACCATACGAAAAGGACAAGGCTACTTGAGTCAAAGAGAAATAAACATTTACTAAGTATATACCCTGACCAGAATGTGTGTATATTCCACTAAGCACCGAGGTCTTTTTTTTCTTTGATTTCGTCACGTATGTAAAAACACTGTTGTTTGCAGTTGTCTGTATGTCTGTAGGTCGCTCCGTTTAAATCGGCAACATTTACAATAAGAACGACTAGCAAAACCTCCTCTCAAAAGCAAACGAGCATATTGGAAATAGCACCACATCAATAATGACTGATTTTAAAAAGGTTTTTTTGGGTTAACCTGCGATGGCTCTTTTGCGTAAGGAAATCGAAAAATAAAAACACACGTCACTAATTCACCTTAATGGGCATTAGCAAAGTGCAATGCATGGTAAATTTGTGCTTTAGCTATTCTATACCTTAAGCTATGAATGTGCTAAAGAAGGAGTTTGATTTGGTGTTTTCCCCTCTATTACATCGTGCAAATCAAACAGCTCTTGATTGTCAGTTAGAGGGCCATTGTGTTGGGCCTACCGTGAGAGTTATGGTGCGCTGCGTGTGAGTGAACACAGCCAAGCGCCAACAATTGGGGAGCACCCATAAAATGAATAAATAAGAAAGGTATGAATCAACGGCCTACAGTAATTAAAAAATACAGTATGTGGATGAATCATCAAGGGAAAATACAAAACATTGGCCCAAAATATACCGACAAAGTTAGTTGTTCTAAAAACAAAATCACCATTTTAGTTGACACAGACCTGACAATCACTATAACGCCATCCTTTTGAGAGATGTTTAACCCTGTCCCTGCCTGCAAAATGAGCTAACATTTGCTCCGTGAGAGTCTAGTCCATCAGGTCAAAAACAGCTCCACGATGTCAATAATGTCATTTTGAAAACAACTGTTGTTGTTTTTTTTACTAGACCAGCTTATTATAAATACCTCCGCATAATTCCCGAGTCCCAGACCAGCCTGTGCTATACGAGGATGGTGTGTGCTACATAACAACAGACCAAAAACGTATGCATTGAAAACAACACAACAATGAAAACAAAACAACTAACGGGAATCAGTGCTTGTCACAGTTTTAAGACATTTCCCCCGAGCTCAAAACAACAGTTCACGGGATAACCGAGGCTTTCCTGAATTTCTGGCTTGGAGGGGGAGGAACAACTGAATGACCGAGCTGCCATCTCCACACTGGGTGAGAACGATGAGGCAGTTGGTTACTTCTTAAAGAGTTCAAAGAGTAAGCGGGACTCAAATCTCCATCGCTGCCAATAACGAGAGACGGCGGAGAGGGAAAATTCGCCATGAATCTGAAGGGCTTTTTCAGAGATGCTACATTGGCGCTCGCTCGTTTGCGTTTGCTCGCGCTCGCACAGTCTTCATTCGACCCCTCACTGCTAGCGAATTTTCCTGCAAAACGGGGGCTCCGGTCAACTTTTGCAAATGATTTCGCGGATGTCCTCACACTTTCGGTTTTTGTACCCAAAAGCATCGCCCTGTAGTTTTTCCTGACCCTTGCACCATTCATGGACTCCCCTTCCTCGGAACAAGGGGTGTTTAAAGTGCTTCTTGATTCCTCGTTACAGGCAGGGTGTTTTTGAACAGAGCTCTCGGAGGCTTTGCAGGGGTCAGTTTCCTTTAAATCGTTACTGATGTGCTGACCATCAGCCTCGTGATCCTTACATTGATATTCCAGAGGCTGATTTGCATATTCATATTCGTCAAAGGTGTCCTCGACTTTAATCTTCACGTTGTTGAGTAAAAATGGTGGCGTTTTTACTGCCCTGTTGCCCTCATTGTTAAAGCCCGAGGTACTAACGGGCTCCTCGGTCTCTGTTTTGATAGGTTTTAGAGGTGAAGGCAGTTTCAGGGAAGTTTTCGCTTCCCTCTTTGAATTTGCTGCTAATGAAAGATTGCTGTCAGAAGACTTACAAACCCTTATTTCTTTGTCCGGAGCACAGTGGGAGATCAAGGCTTGGGAGCATTTGTTTGCAGAACCCGGTATTCTTTGTTGGGGGAACGCCTTGTTTCCATTTGCATTAGGTGTAAGCCCAGTCTCTTTAATTCTGTTAGCTACAGAGTCTGTTGTCTTTGGATCGTTTGGAAATTCAAGGCGTGATGGTGCTTCAGAGCCTTCGTTTTGTCTTAAATCGGGGAAACAGGTCCGCACCGGGCAGAACTTCTGCACTTTTGCGGCATCACCATCCTCGTGTGCGTCCCTGGACGATGTGAAGTCCGATTTTTGAGTTTTGCCAGTTCGTTCGCAATCCAAAGTAGTCGTTACTCCTTGGTTAGTGGTGATGTTCTGCACATTAGGCCTGTAGTGAAAAGTTGGCTGTAAGAGCAGAGGTGCTTTTGTGTTGAGACTTGAGAACCTCGCACGCCTGAAACGAATACTCTGCACTGAAACCTGACTGGACACAGAGCTCGAATCAGACTGAGAGGAGCTCTCTTCATCGCTGCTGACATCTGAAGAATCCGAGAGAGAGTCATCCTCCTCCTCCTCATCTGAAGTCCCGGAGTTGCTGGTGGTAGAGAAACTCGAGCCGAAATCCGAATCGTTGTTCACCCGTTCTGAGACGGAGCTAGATTCCGTGTCGCTGCTGCAGCTTTCCTGAAAATGTCCAGTGTGCCGAGGATCGACGTATAATCCATGCTCGAGGTGGTGAAACTGGCTTAAAGATCCGTTGGGAACTTTTGGTTTACAGCACTTTGGGACGAACAAAACCGGATGGCTTCGTCTGCTCCTCGACCAAAACTGCCTCGCGCTGCTCTCGCGCTTCCTCTTCCTTTTGTAAAGTAGGTCTGCGTTGCCTTGGTGCTTTGCCTGCGCTGCAATGGCGGACTGATAGAGCAGCGGTTGCCGATTCACAACGTGCCGAAAAAGCGTTTGTTTCTGATTAAAAGCCACACAGTTGTCAGGTATTTGATCTGTTTCATAGTTTTTAAAGGGTGTAGATGCCGACTTCGTGACCGGTTGAAAGTCACGGCCGAAGGATTTACTGTAAATTTGAGGTAGATTTGAGTGAGTGCGAGGGACAGGGTCCTGTCGAACAGCTTTATTTTTGAATGAGAAAGTCTGAGGAACGCCATGCAAACTCAACCAAACTTTCTCTCTCCAAAAGTCACTTCTGGTAGAGGTGCGATTTTTGCCGTCGCACATTTTTTCTGAGGAATTTTTTGTCTTTTCCCTTCTTTTGTTTGATTTCAATACGCGCTCAGTTTTACATGAAAAATACAGTGCCTCAACGTCCTCTCTTGAAATCAGAGTGCACTTAGCTGCATGGAAAGCTATAGAATTTATTGCTTTGAGCTTTCGCAGTTCCTCCAAATCACAGTGATGCTTCTTCACGTTTAAATGGTCCATTCGTTTGTGTACAGTAGTCCGCGGAATATTTTTCAAGAGGTCGGTGAAGACTTGAGAAAGGGCAAACATTTGTTTGCCTTTGATAACCAAATAGCCAAGCTTTACACCCTGCATTTCCTCAAAACCGTATTCCAAGTCCCCCATTTTCTTCATTGCATTAATTCCAACATTTAGAGCGACGGATGTCCTTAGCTTTACTGCTGCTTCTTTATTTCAAGGCATTCTGCTGACCGGTCCAGCATGGGCTTTGACATGTCCACACTGCGTGATGAACAAAAAGTTTTAAATAGAAAAATAAAAATGAAATGGCCTGTTTGAATTAAAACAATCAGTCCATTGACCTGAGCACTGCATGATCGATGGAATGTGTGTGATGTTGCCGACAGGCTGGCTGCTGCCTGTCTGCGCTCCTGTATACCTGCGCTCCCTCAGCTCCCTTCCCATTTGGCCATGAGGAAAAGAGGAAGGTGAACAGCACTGCCAGTGAGAAGGATAAAAAGCGAGGAGAGTATAAGGGGAAAAAGAGAGGGAGTGAGCGGCAGAGAGAGAGGGAGGGAGAGAGAGAGAGAGAGAGAGAGAAATAGAGCCCAAAATGCAGCTGCTATTCCCGTTGCTGGTTTAGTCACAAATAAAATGACAGTGGGAACTGAGCAAGGCCGGAGACACCTTCATCAATTAATGCCCCCAAAGCCGACGCTGATTGGACGTTACTGACAGGTGATGCAATAAAAATGGATATTCCACCCATGGCCACCCCCATCCCCCTAGCTAATTACCATACTGTTGTAATCCCACCTCTCTTAGAGCAAATAATTCGCTAGTGATAAGTTCATGCTTAGAAATTAATATTAGTCATTTTGTCGGAGTATTGTTACAACTTTGTGTTGTCGTGGTTGTGAAAAATTATTAATGCTGACAGATGGGTATTTTGGGCAGCATATATATGATGTGCAGCTTTTTATACCATTTATTTTATAAATTAAACAATGTCGTTATGTTTAATTTAAATGCGTTTCATTTTAAATAGCTATCTTTATACAATACGCAAAATGTAATGCATCTATTTCAGGGAGATAAGCATTTTAACTCAAACAGAGAGAAAACTTGGAATTTGAAGCAAACATTGATAACAGTGGCAAGTTAAAAGCCGAATTAAAATATCGATGATAGGATTTTACCAATCCCAAAACTCGTTTAATTTCAGAAGGAAAAAAAAAGAGTAGTAAACAATTGTGTATAGTGTTTTTTATTTATTTTATTTTTTCTTTGATATTGCTTTGCATGCAATCAACATGAATCACATTATACATGAACTCAGCTAATGCTTTTTGTCATTTTGTGTGCTTGAGATATCTGTGTGCACGCACATTCTTTAAAGTAACAGTATGTGTGCAGAATAAAACAAAAATTAGCCATGCTTTGAGAAATCGTCGGAGCTTTTTCCAAGTTGCGAATTAATACACATATTCAAATTCTGCAACAAGAACTGTCGATCAAGATATATGAATTGTAGAAGGAGCTGCATGCAAGAAACACGTGTGTGTACAAACAAAAGAAGAAGAATTTGTACATGTTAATCAGCATGTTCTAATACCCTCGTAATTGTTCGGTTGTAAGTGTGTGCGAGTTAGAAGGCTATTATTCATATTTTTTGCGGTCCATATTTTTCACAGATCAGGCAGACCTCCATCCCACGTCATACTAACGTGAAAGAGAAAATAACTGGTCTTCACAAGCAAAGACTTCCCCTCCCCCCGTTTGTGTACAGACATATGCCGTTTTACAATGATGAGGAAAGAGAATGAACAGAAAAAAGTAATTTTAACTACAATACAATACAATACAATTTTCAGGCATACATTATTTGACAGAAAATCCTTCTGCTAATCTTAAGTGCACATGTACATTATTTTACGAAACTCTTAGTAAAACCTTACAAACATGTTTTGAGACACTCCTGATACAGTATTCCAAACTTCCATTGGTGTTCATTGTTGAATAAAGTGATTCTGTACATGAATATTATGTTTTTCATGCAGTGCATAACCGGGCGGCCATATAAGGCCTTGCTTTTCAGGTGGTTTTTAAAACTCAAAATACAATCGATGTTGTGCTGCGGATGTTCTATCGTACAATAAAGATAAATAGATTATTCATTAAATTGTGCAATTTCAATCATTCCAACATTTGAATGCAAATGACCTGCCCCTGCTACCACCCTTCACATCTTGCCTATTATAAAAAACGAAAACCAGCCGGGACGACCAAGCCAGCGCCATATTATGGGTTTGAACTTTACTGTGCATTATGCGATTTATAGCATACACGTTTTTGTTGGAAGTGCTAGTTCAGGATGTCTATTTGTCATTATATTACTTAATATTAATTGATTATTGGTTGAAATAATTTTATGACATAAAATAGTTTAGATCAATTAAACCCTCTATGCCGTCATTGTCAAGTATTGCTCTTGATAATGAATTGTTATATTATGCTATATTGCATCCGCGTTTACCTGATTATGGCTTGCACAGACAGCTATATAGGCGATGTGGTGGAAGTGCTTCGTGTTAATCACCCCAGCTCATTTAGTACCAAATTCAGCATCGGTATTTGTCAGAATGTACACGATCCCACCTCACTCATTCGCAAGGGGCGGTAACATAAATAGACTC